ACATTGGCAGTAACCTGGATTCTCTGTGCATGGCCCCTGGCACGGGAGGGCGCGGGGAGGCTTGAGAAACCGGCATCAGATCAGGCCGATAGACGTTTGGAATCGAGCCGCGTCCTTGGCAGGTGCGTGCCCGGGTTGTTGCGTAATGTTGTATAACAGCGCGAGGGTTATGGCGGTGGCCGTGCCTCCAATCAGAGGGCAGCAGCACGCCTGTAAATGGAGAAATGCTGCCTGAGGGGGGGGGGGGGGTGGTGACTTATACAGGCGCATATGAATGGGGGGGGGGGGGTTGAGCAGCAGATAAAGAAGTTGAAGCCGAGGGCAACGTCTCCTCGTGGCTCCAGGTTGAAGAGGTTATGACCTCCACCTCGGGAGCTTCAGTCTCGGGCGTGCAGGTGGATTCGGCGAGGAACTGGATAGCGCGCTGGCAGTGGCGTCATCGTCGGTGCTTCCAATAGCCCCAGGGAAGGACCCGCAGAGACACTCACTGGAGACGCAATACGCACGCGTAGGACGTGTGGCCGTGACATGGCCCAGCGGTAGCACATTCGCCACTCATTGTAGATGTTTGCAATGTGAATCCGGACGGTCGCCCTGGTTAATACTGCTGGTATAGAAACCATACAATACGCACCATCTGCTTCACAGTGGACGTTAAGATCCCATGACGTCATTCGAAGAGGCCATCGTGGAGCGGCGTCGTGGTCCAATTTAGCCAAAAATAGAAAAAATACTCGCAAAGTACTGGATGTGTAAGCACGACAGATCGCGCCCCTTCTGCGAAAACATAGCAGGACCCTCGCGAACGAGCCTTCAGATTAGATGAGATTTTCCTGTCAAATAAAAGTTTGGTAATAACAGATTCACAGAATGAGTACTGGAAGTGGCTTCCCTGGAAACCTGGTTTGGTGGAGTTGGAGCAGCAGCAGCATGCTCATCATCGAACACTGCCTTCGTGCTCCAATCATTAATCCACCAGACTGCAACACCAGGGGTGGTGTTTGTCCCCGACTTTTCTACCACACCTTGCTCTAGAATTATATTTGCACGTTTTTTTTTCAATTTGCGTCTTTCGTTTACCACCGTTTAATACCTCCCTTGTTGAGCAATACTCCTTGTCGGACCCTGTCCTCGTTCTCTGTCACCTTCGTGTTTTTATCGTTTTTTTTTGTTGTTGCTGTGCCTGCGAACCACGGATCTCCTCCATTGTACAATAGCCGGGGAAATTGCTAAACGAGATCAATACGTGTGACAAATATAATTAACTTAACCTGTGGTTGGAAGGTTGCTCGGTGTTTGGCCATCGCTCCACCACTCCTGTAACCTCCACCTTGTGCGATTTGCTCAATCCAATTTCGCTTAATAATGGCGCAACTGAACATTGGCAGTTGATGCAGTCGTCGCCTGTAACTGGGCTGGCACGTGGGCCATGGAAACCCGGTATCAGATCACAACTTTGGAGTCGAGCCGTGCCCTTGACAGGTGTTTCGCTCGGCTGTTGTGTAATGTTGGTAGAGTGAAAGCGAGGGTGTGCGTGATGCCACATTACAGGGGGCGGGGTGGGCGACGTGGCACTGTGCAGGGGGTGATGTGGGGTATGTCGAGTCGAGCGGCAGTCTTTTCATCAGCTGCGTAACGCTGTGGATCATACCCAGACCCCTGTCGTTCCATACAAAGCTTTGGGTCCTCACGGTCACAGTTATGTCCTTCCTCCCTTCTCTGTTTGCGAAACATTGAGCACTCTAAAGGAACATCTGCGCCGGTTTGAAACATTCAGGCTTGCCTACGATGAATCCTGTTTTTTGGAGGTTCACAGAACATTTGAAAGATATGGACACAGTCCCATCGGTGAGCTCCTTCGGCAAGCGAGGCTGCGTTGGCTGGGTCATGTAGCTTGCATGCCCAGTCACCGCATGCCCAAGCAGCGGATAGAGGGGGGACTGATGTGGTACAGGATGTGGAGTTGATTGGACTTGTCGATGACTGGTGCCAGCATTGTCAAGATTGGCCTCTGCGGGGGTTCGTGAAGGTCGCCGCTGTTGAATTGGCAGTCAACGCTCACGACCGGAGCGCCGGATGGCTAAAACTCATAAGAGTTGGCAGTGGGGAGCATAGTCTGTGCATCTAACAGTCATCTCAGCCAACCAATGGCATCTAGGTCTGTGACCTGCCAGCGGGCCTTCAACCCTTCACGTGGCCTCAAAATGCACCTCGCCCTGGCCACAGGCGCCGTGGTGACATCACCGCCACTTAGTGGTGAACCACGGCTCTCGTTGAGAGGTGGGGTCAGGCCGTGGGTGCGGGATGTTGACGTGTCAACGCGCAGAGCGGGAGTTTGGCGGCTCGGGGTAACGAAATCACCGGGAAATATTGACGCCGCGAGGGCCTCGGTGACGCTCGCGTTTCGCAACCCGCGCCAAGGCTCGCGGGAGAGGCCGGCACGACGACTCGCTGCGGCAGCCCCTCCGACGCGTCCCCGACATCCCTCGCCGCGCGGGCAGCGCCGGCTCCGATCCATCGCCATCTCGCAGAGCGCGGCGCCGCCACCACGTGGGCACCGCCAGCGCGCAAAGCATCACGGGGACCACACCGCCGCCATGAGGCGGTGGTGGGGCAATTAGTGACGACACATCCGGACACAACACCGGCGTGTGACGTCACGTCCGGTCTGCAACCTCATCCCCCCACCCCACGGAATCCGGGGGCGGGGCTCGCGCGGTGGGATCGCGATAGAAGAGGGCGGGGCCCAGCGGGGGCGGGGCCAGAGCCAGGAGGGGGCCCAGCGGGGGCGGGGCCAGAGCCAGGAGGGACTATGCCGGGCTCCCATTGGTCGTCGCTCTGCGCGTGGATCGCGGGCTGCTGAGTTCGCTGCATTACCATCATCGGTCGTAGTCAATCCACTGCTGGATGAAGGTTTTGTTTTAGCTGCCACCACACTCCCCACGTTCCTGCGATGTTAACAATCCACTTGGCACCTGTACACGAGCTGATTTAATTGCTGCAACTGTCCACTCGGATGCGTTCAATTCATTGGCTGCCTCTCCGTAATTGAAACTATAAAAAACAACTATCAGCAGATACAGCCCTTGACCGTCGTCCATCATCCTTAGTAGCCGTGTCGTGTATCTTACAATGCCATCTAACTGGATACGCATGATGCCTGTTACCTAATGCGTGTGTGTCTCAATGCAATTTCAGGCATTTCACCTCCACGCTACCTTACGCAATTTGCAGTGTTCCGTATGTTGGTTAATGACCATGTGTCGCAACCATATGCGGTAAACAGCAGGCAGTGCGCCCTGATTAAACAAGTCTTACTTTACAAGCATCAACTCGTTCGTGTCCACAAGCCGTTATGTCGATTCGGCAAGGCTTAGGTAACTACAGATCATTGCAGGACTTCGCAAAGAATGCCGTAACGTGGGCCAAAGATAAAACTCAATTAAAACTAAAGCTATGTACACCGAGGTGACTGGGTAAATCATTGTTGGAGGGGCCCAGTGGGACAAGCCCTGGGTCGGCGTGAGCGCCGTGGTGGTGGTGGTGGTCTCGGCTTCACGTTTTATATTGAACGGTAACAAACTTGGGAGCCCAAAGAGAAACGGTCTAAACTAAGTGTACGCTACTGTAAAAGACTGAGCACAAAGATGGAGAAAACAATTTAAAATGTACGCAAATAAACGTGGAAAGATGAATAATCTGTGTTTTTGTTCATTGGTGGACGGCACGGTGGCTAGGAGATGTTAACTACTTCGTCTGGTATGCAGGAGGTCGTGGGTTCGACCCGACCCTGACGCCTGTGTTATCTGCAGTTTGCATGTTTCTCTCCCTGAAATCGCGTGGATTTTTTTCCGGGTCCTCCAGGGTTTCCCTCTTCATTTGTAATGTACACGCGTTTAGAGAATTCGGCTGCTATAGATGTTTCACGTGATGGGCCACTTCGTTGAGCTGACATTTGTGAAAGCCAGGTCGCTTTTTAAAAAGAGCTGTGGCTCGATGAGCCTTGCCTGGTACAATAAAAATAGTAAAACAATTAATTGTGCTTGTGCACCCCCACAAAACACTCCTTAACTATTCCCTCCCGCCCCCTGCCACCACAACTGCACTCTTACTTTTAATGAACCCACTCCTTTATTTAAACCACCAAATATCTAAAGGATAAGGATGGTCGATGCTCAAGAACGGTAAGGGAATACGCCGAAGGGGACGTGTACGGAGGAGATGGAGCGATTGTATCGGCTGTAGAAGGCTTTCATCCAGCACGTGTTTGATGGCAGCCGGTGATAACCAACTGATGGATGAAAGCCTCCCCAGACGCCCTGCAGTCACGGGCAGACAAGGGGCGGGCGAATGGTCGAGATTTAAGTAAAGGTGCAGCCCTGCAATGTCTTCATATCGTCGCTGCTGGCGGAAAGGGCCTCCGTTTGAGAAAGCTCTGAAGATAGTCTCTTATTAGGGGCACATGGGGCCCACGGCGACCACATTCGCTGTCCGACCTCACAGATATCGGGCGTATCGACAAGGAGAGAGGCGACATCACAAGCGATGTTCTAATCGACTCGGGAAGAAGGAATTCGTCGATTATTATTATTGATCCCCAAGCTGGGATTGGGCCGCGTGCTGGGAGCGGCGAGGCGGGCACGGGCGCAGCTCGGAGGCCTCCATTGGCCGAGGCTGAGCGGGTGGGCGCGGCCTCGCGGCGTGGGTGGGTGGGGGCAGTGTGGGCGTGTCCGCGCTCTCCCATTGGCCGAGGCTGAGCGGGTGGGCGCGGCCTCGCGGCGTGGGTGGGTGGGGACAGTGTGGGCGTGTCCGCGCTCTCCCATTGGCCGAGGCTGAGCGGGTGGGCGCGGCCTCGCGGCGTGGGTGGGTGGGGGGGGCAGTGTGGGCGTGTCCGCGCTCTCCCATTGGCCGAGGCGGCGCGGAGTGTGTGCGCCGGCGGTGTTGTGGGCGAGGCCTCGTCGCCCATTGGCTGAGCGGGACGCGAGAACCCGGCGCGCGCGGCCGCCTTCGCGCACAGCGGCGGCGAGCGGAACATGGCGACGGCGCGGCCCGCGCTGCTCCGACTGCTGCTGCTGCTGCTGCCCCTGCTGCTGCTCCTGCTGTTGCTGCTCCATTGCGCGGCGGGGCTCTCGGAGAGTGCGCAGGCCGGTTCGGGGCCCTGGGCCCTCGGAGACGTAGCGGTGGACGGCAGGCCGCGCTTCGTGGGCGTGCGGCTGGAGGACAAGGGCCAGGGCGCCTATGTGCAGGACGGCATCATCAAGGTGCAGGAGCGGAGCCGCGCGCGGCTGCGTCTCTTCGTCTACCGCAACGGCAGCGGCGACGGCGACGGGGGAGGCGGCGGTGGGGAGCCGTGGCCGCCGCCCGCAGAATGGCTGGCCTTCGCCGACGCCGAGCAGGTGCAGCAAGGCCCGGGGCCCGAGGCATGTCCTCGCAGCTCGGACATCACGTACGTGGGCTATCTCGCGCGCAACGAGTACTCGGTGGTGGTCGAGGTGGACGTGAAATCTCTGCGCAAGAGCGAGACGGAGCGATTGTTCTACCTTTGCACGAAAGGCATCGCCGGTCCCGCGGGGCTGGAGACGGGAGACAACTGGGTGGCGCACATGGGAAACGACAGTCGCATCGCCATGGTGGAGGAGAGGACGTCCATGCTGCCGCGCTGGCTGCAGATCCTGTTCATCGGCGTGCTGCTCTGCCTGTCGGGGATGTTCAGCGGCCTCAACCTGGGCCTCATGGCGCTCGATCCGATGGAGCTGCGCATCGTGCAGAACTGCGGCACGGCCAAGGAGAAGGCTTACGCCAAGAAGATCGAGCCCATCCGCCGACAGGGAAACTACCTGCTCTGCTCGCTGCTCCTGGGCAACGTGCTGGTGAACACGACGCTCACCATCCTCCTGGACGACCTCATCGGCTCCGGGGTGGTGGCCGTCATCGCGTCCACCGTGGGCATCGTCATCTTCGGCGAGATCGTGCCGCAGGCGCTCTGCTCCCGCCACGGCCTGGCCGTGGGCGCCAACACCATCGTGCTCACCAAGCTCTTCATGATCCTCACCTTCCCCGCGTCCTTCCCCATCAGCAAGCTGCTGGACGTGGTGCTGGGCCAGGAGATCGGCACCGTCTACAACCGCGAGAAGCTCCTGGAGATGCTGAGAGTCACGGACCCCTACAACGACCTGGTGAAGGAGGAGCTGAACATCATCCAGGGCGCCCTGGAGCTGCGCGTCAAGACCGTGGAGGACGTGATGACGCCGCTCAAAGACTGCTTCATGCTGAGCGCCGACGCCGTGCTCGACTTCGGCACCATGTCCGAGATCATGCAGAGCGGCTACACGCGCATCCCCGTGTACGAGGACGAGCTGAGCAACGTGGTGGACCTGCTCTTCGTCAAGGACCTCGCCTTCGTCGACCCCGACGACTGCACCCCGCTCAAGACCATCACCAAGTTCTACAACCACCCGCTGCATTTCGTCTTCAACGACACCAAGCTGGACGCCATGCTGGAGGAGTTCAAGAAAGGTGAGGTCACCACCCCCACCACCCCCCGCCTCCTCCTCCCCCTGGTCTGCATTGTGTTGTGTCTCCAACCTCCCCACCTAGGCAGGCACGGCTTAATTTTTAACCGGGTCTGTCCAGATCGGCGACAAAAATATTTCCCCACCACCGGCATACCACATCCAGTATACATGTCGCCATGCGTCGCCATGCGCAGTGGCGCTTAGCCAGGTGCCTTCAGTCTATTGAAGATTAAAGACGTCATGGCGAGAGCTGTTGATGTCACTTTTTCACCATCGTCTATTGGCGACTGCAAAAAAAAATCGGTGAGAATTAATCCCCTTGCCCTTAGGTGCCTGGGGTGGGCTTTCTCCCCCCCCTCTTCCCCACCGCCTTCCTCCCGTGAGCCTGGACCCCTCTTGTTTTTTAACCCCCCCCTGTGTTAATGTCCCCCCCACCACCCCCGGTCTGTGTGTGAGTGCCCCCCGCCGCACTCGGGGCCTATTTCACCACAACCCACCGCAGTGCGTTTAGCAACATCTCTGAAGACGCGGAGAAGACGTGGGGGTTCCACGGGGCCCCCCTTGTGTGTGCGCTCACTCGCAGCGCTGGGTATGGATGGGTACAGGTGTGGCTGTGGGTACAGGTGTGGCTGTGGGTACAGGTGTGGCTGTGGGTACAGGTGTGGCTGTGGGTACAGGTGTGGCTGTGGGTACAGGTGTAGTCACAGGCACGGCCCTGTCGAAGTTTTACCGAAATGGACGCCAGCTGTTGCGCTGCAAGGCGGCTCTCTCGTTAAGATTGTATCGAAGGAGCGTTAATGAATGACGTCGTTGACGAGAGCAAACATTGCATTGTATTAATGGAGCGGACTGTTAACGCACACGGGAGTCTTAATGAACGGGAGTAGTAACGAAGTGAGTCGGGGGGGGGGGGGTAATAACGGGTTGGATGTGGTCGCTGTGGTGTGGATATGTGGTGGTGGGAGACGGGTGGTCTGTCCGGGGGGTTGTGCCGGGGTCTGCTCGGCCCCTGTGACGGGACTGACCCCCCACAGCGGCGACAACGACGACGACGCTGTGTAGGGGATGACGACGACGCTGTGCGGCAGCAACCGCTGCCATGTTGACGGCGTTGATGCGACGCATATTTAAATAATGAATGCCGTGGCTGCTCCCGTATTCGGGACCCGCGATGGGGATTTTACAGCTTGGGCGTGTTTGTGTTTGGTGAATGTTTACCCAGGATATAAAGTTGCACCTTACTAATATTGCAACACAATGTTCTGGAAAATTACACGAAAGGGTTGCTCATTAATAACCGTATCGTAATTGCCTCTTAACGATTAGATAGCCATTAAAATTGCGTGTCTGCAATATTTGTGACCTCTCGACCTGTGGGGGGCGTCGTTATTGGGCGCACGTGCCAGCTTGCTTGTTTGTCCCTGTGCTGGCACTGTGCCACCTACGCCCACGGAGCCGGCCCCAAGGGTGGGTTGTTTGAGCCACAGTAGGGGTCAACCAGCAAGCAGATGGTAGCTGCCTCGCACGATCCTCGTCTGGTGAGCCCTCAACACAGCGCTGTGGTGACAGCGGGTGAGGAGGGGAGCGAGATCTTGTTAAAGCGCCCGGAGTGACTCCGGTCCTCATTCTTCATTTGACAGACGTTCTCATTCATCCAGTGTTTGCTGAAAATATGCCACTGACCCCCCCCATCACCAACCGTGGGACAAATTATTGAAGCGATGTTATTTCGGTGACCAACGTTTCATAGGACTTGAAATGCTCCTTAATCACTCTGGGTGGCGGCTGGAGATGATGACTGCGCTCACATTGTGCAGTGGGCAAGTGAGCGTCGGGCGAACCTGAGGAGACTGCAGCGGCATGAGCCTCCCGCTGGCGAGCAGCGTGCGGGTGGCTCGGCGTGCGACTCGCTGGGACCCTTCCTGTTGTTGCTCCCGGTTCAGATACCCACTTCCCAGCGATAACAAAATCCCACCGAAAAACGGCCGCGTGAATGCGTGTCAGTGCCTGGGAAGAAAATAGACAAATAATTCAGACAAATCAATTATTTTTAAACAGGAACCTTGATTTTGACAGGCGGTGATATCACTTTGCAATGTTACAAAAACATGAATGTTTGCCTAAGTGGCTTTCCCAAGCTCTGTTAGTCGTTAGTAGTTTCCTCTGTCACGTATTCCTGGGCCATTGTTACCTTGTTCAGCGAAGGTGAGAGAAGAGTCGGGATTCCAGTAATTAGTTCAATTTGGTTGTCCCAGAGAAGGTGGTCCAATGGCCCAGAGCAGATATTTCACTTAGCAATAACTACCTGGGTGGAGAAATTTGTTTTTGAAAAATCTACCCTCGTTATGATGGTAATATTTAGATGTGGCAACCATTTTAAAGGTATCACGCTAATTAGCCGTTATTGGCCTCCTAAATAATTCGGTAGCATTAATGTTTATCGACATTTGGTGCTGCCAATTTCTGCACTGGCCCACGGGCTGCAGAACACTAAAGTGAGGACCCTCTGGGTGGGCCTTGTACGCTTGTGGAAATATACTGACCCTTGTGTACATGCACAAGGTTGACAGAAAGGTTTTAAATCAAAAATTAATTGATCGATTAGTCATGTATTTGGATCTGCAAAACATTTACTGTGAAATTGCTGAATCTGGATAAAATATAAAATGTATGCACCAGTGAGTCGAAAGAGTAATTTTCCAAATTATTTTCATTAATTATTCATTAAAGATCCTCACTTAATCATGTGCTGTTTTTGTGACAGTGTTCAGTGAAAAGTGGAAATCGGTGTTTCTTTAACAGCGTCCTTCTTGACAACGCGCCAATGATGTGTATATATATGGATCATTGTAACAGGTTATGTAAGAGGCAGGGGAGATGGGGGCTGGACTGCCGTGCGCTGCGAGCCTCCATGTCAGGAGTTCTCCTCCTGACTCAGACTCCTGTGACTAACTCGAGGCCTGGGCTGGGAGACCTCCTCCCTACTTAGTGTGGCGCAGTGGATACACAATAACCGCCTGGGTTTCATTACTGACTCTTTTGACTTACTGTGCGCAGTTTGTATGTTCTCCCCCTGTTCTGCATAGGTTTCCTCTGGTTTCCGCCCATGGCTAAAAAAACACGCACACAATGTAACTGGTTGTTGGCTAAAGATTCCAATGCTGAAAATTTTACCTGCAAATCACTCAATTGGGATTCCACACAGCAGCAACATCATCCCCTTTTGCGGAAACTTGACAGGACCCTCCTGAAAGAGTCTTGAGACCAAGGAAGTCCTCCTTTGGGTAAACAAGTGTAATAATTAATAATAATATTTCCGCAGGCATCCACGGTGCCCATTCGCTCCATTTCACAACTTTTGGAGCGCGGCGCCCACTCTGTGTATCACAGCCGTAGAGACTTTTACTGCCGGTTACTATGTCAATGCGTGTCATGTTGTCGATGCCCAGACTTTTAAAGGAAGACGCAGCCCAAAGAACCAAACAGTTCGTGTAGTGGGTTGGTTTATCCTACTTCCACGCTGGCCAGTGCTGTTGGTAAATGGACACTAGTTATGTCCACCTCTGGTAATTTCACTGAACCGTCATTTTTGTATGATGTCAGTACAGTCGACTTTTTCTTATTGTTAAGCTTGTTTACACAGGATAACCTCACGGAGTCTCAAGTCTCATTCGGGAGGATCCTGCTAAGTTTTTGGTCATGGTGAGACTATTTGTTTTCCAGGAAAGTAATTTGTGGTAGAATATTTTTTTTGCAAATTTGGACTATGACACTGGCATACAATGGCTTACTCGTCTTCGAATTATATTACGGGATCTTTAATGTTCACTGAAGCAGACAGCAGGTAGTATTTATATGGTTAATAAACTCGCAGCATTAACTGGTGTGGCCTGACGGGATTCATAGCGCAAACCTTCGCAACAAGTGGCGGACACTTTACCACTGGGTGACGTCGCCACCCCTGATTTGGATCGTTTGTGCTGTGCGGTGGCGTACACGGGTTGAACCCGTGACCGTGGTTGCCTTTTGAGCGATGCATTGAACGCCGCAGGTTCCAGATGTGCCCCGATAGGGTAGGCCGGCCGAACTGTGCGGCGGGAATTGCGACACGCGCGTGGGACGACGGAGTGTTTTGTTTTCCCAAGCTCGAGGCTTTTCCCGAGGTAACCTTGCTTTGGACCGGGTGCCAGGGCCACAGTATCACAGAGCCGACTTAAGTAAAAGAATGCCAAAAATGCAAGCGAATCTAAAACAGTCTGGGAAGGAAATGTCATAAGGAAGCCGTGTCTGCGTTGTTTATTGTGGTAAATTTAAACGTAATGAACCACATTTAGCTTCGCTACCCATGGGACGAGCAGGAAATGATGGTGGAGCTGTTAATGCGTGTGGCGCGGGCTTGTTGCTCTATTCGGCTGCTATTCCTGCCCAAGCAATTATTAGCAGAGCCTCTTGTTTTCTCGTCAGTGGTGAGCGGAGATGGCGCCTTGGCCACTTTCCCTGCGCCGAGGAGCAACTCCATCCCATCCAATTAGATGTCGAGAGGGATTCGGTTGTTCTCCTGGCACCTGCAAAGTGTCCGGGTTTGGGCTCTTTAGGGAAGGTAAAAGCCAGCGGGACTGATACGAGCGGCATCATCATTGGCATTTGGCTCAGAAGCAAGTCATTCCAGTGCTGGCCTGTGCAGTCATTCAGGGCTCCCGATTCCTTATTTCTTTCTCAAAGTAAGAACTGTGCACTGCTCGCATCACTTCTGGGCCCATTTGGCTCTTGTGCTGCCATTCTGTAGAGCTGGGAGAGCTGCCTGCTGCCACCGGGAGCGTGGCGCTTGAGTGGCAGGGTGGTCACACAATGTGGGAGGCACAGCTGCTCGCCTCTATTAAATTTAACCTCGATCGTCGCCCCGTTCGTCTCTACAGTCCTGTGACGATGCCCTCCCCGCGGGGCCCACGCGTGGCACCTGCGTTAGTCACGCGGACATTGATGTGTCCTGCTGGGCCGCTCTATGATTTACCCCCCCACCTCCTTAGCACATTCTGTTCAGGTACCTTGCTGCTGAACTTTGACCTGGGTGCTTAAAATAACATTGTGGGCATGCGGTGCCAGGTGGTCTACCAGGGCCGCTTCATTACCGGTGGTACATTTTGAGAGAGAGAGTCGAAACCCAAAATGTTCTCTAGAATTGTCAATGAAAACATGGCTCCCTGACGGTGCACGCTGCCACCACCACCGAGGTGGGTAGGAAATGTTGTCATGTTTGCGTTCGCGGTTGGTCGTGGCTGCGGCACAGTATCACGCCGCTGCCAGCGTGCTGCCAAGTGCCTCGCGGTGTGTACATAAAATAAAACCTTCAAATACGCCTCGGGAACCTTGGCAGACTCCCCACTGTACAGTGTTAAAATGCTTTCTAACGTGACAAGCCAGGGCACGCAGTCAATATAAAAAATACAGCAGGCACTGTGCGGTGAGGTGAGAGCAGTGTGTTATTGAAGTGCCGGGTGGTAAAGAGTGCGTTCTCACGAGTCCCAAGTCCGTGCCGCTGTCATGCAGAACTCGTAACGGGACAGTTTAAGAGGCGTTAAACATCGCCGACCTGACCCGTGAATTAGTGGGGAGGGGGGGGTGTTTTATTTATTTACATAGTTGTTTATTTTCATTCGGCTCTGTTACAAAAGTGAAATCTGCACAGAGCTGTGGTCAGCGCCAGTGCGGGGCCTCGCGGTGATGAGGAGGGGAGCTCGAGCGCGCCCGCTCACCCTCAGGTGCGTGTCGCATGTTTGAGGCCGGATAAGATCGCTGTGTAAGCACCGCTTAATCTACGCTCGCAGCCTACAAGCGCAGCCACTGTTTAGCATAACTCGCTTGCAGGCCGCTCCGCAGTTACAGTGGCGGCACGGGGAGGCGGGGGGGGGGGAAGCGGTGGGAAGAAAAAGTGAGATACGTATCATGTTCAGCTTCTCTTCCACCCGACGTGCCATTCTCTGTGTTGCGTCGTTGCTGTGTAAATTTGTTTTCCCCTTTTGCATGTGCTTAACCGGAACCTGCTGCTTAACCGGAACCTTGCGCTACCTTTGTTCAGGGACGAGATGGCGCTGCTGGCGGTGTTTGTTTGCGCACAGTGCAACTAGTCGGTGCCAACCCCTAGGTCTTGAGGGACGTCACCCCACGAATGCCACCACCAGCAGCAGCAGCGCAGCAGCAGCATGATCAGCGCTGTCCCTTGTGTCACGTCTCAGGACACACCTCGTGGGACCCAATTAAGTGGCGTTTTGTTGCTTGGCAACACCCAGCTCCGTTAGGTGCCACGTCCGGCCAGTGCCGGAACTTCTTTCGCACCATATCTAGCCAATCGTGCTCATCGGAGGTGGGGAGGAAGGGTAACAGACCAAACACAAAAAACAGTTCAAATTAAATGAGTTTTCAATCTAGAAGCACATCACTCAAGCAGCTAACTAATATGCCGATGGTTATGACACCAATTCAGATTTTTGATATAATTAATCACATGAGGTTGGCTGTCACCACTGCTTGCCAGCTGCAAAACATGATTCCCACATGGGGATTATTTGTTTTGACCTCGCACAATTGTGACAGATGACCAACCTTTATAAATTTGTGGCCCAGATGACTCTCTTTTTCCGTGAAGGGTCTTTTTCCACATCAGCTGGCAGCTTGGGGTAGGCCCAGGCAAATGCGCCCCACAGATACGGCTCTTTAATGACCTCCCATTAAAGCTGGAAAGGCTGCGGTGGCGCCCAGGCCACGCAGCTGCGGTTGTGGTGAGCGCGTGGGAGCTTCGCGCTGCCCGTTATAACAGCCGCCGCCTCTGTTGTGCTCTTACTCACTGTCTGGGGCTTAGAGACGCACTCGTGATTACTTCTTGCGGTCCGGCATCTTCTTATCATTCTCATATATTTGGTTGGGCCAGAGGTGGACGGAGCAAATTTTTCTCTTGCATTTAGCGCCAACCTCCTTAACTTGCTGGGGTTAATCCGTAAACGGGTTATTGGGGGGGGGAGGGGTTGAGGGGTGGGATCCGGCTGCGCACCCTCGGGAGAGAGGGGCGATGTGAACTTACTTGTGCACCCAACGAGAATGGGGTTGGAGTTTTCCACTCTGCACTGAGCCCCCCCCCCCCCCCGCACGCTCATTAGCACGCCTGATATTCGGAAAATCTTGCAGGGGATGGAAAAAGTGGCCATGGTATGCAGCGGTTAGAACGGTGGCACGTACGGCTCACCCCGGGAACTTTCTTTGGATGGAGTGGGGTGGGGAGACGCGTAGCATCTGCTTGGTTTGATCTTGGCCATGCTGTGCGATGTTACCTGTGATGAGCTTTACTTGGGTCCAAATCCCCCCCCCTCCCCGGTTGATTACCTGGCTATGTCGATCCTTCCTTACATTTGCCATCGTAAACTGACTTACTTTCTCCTCACTTTTGCTGCCATGTACACGCAAAAAACACGTTCCGTTTTCAGGCAAGTCTCACCTGGCCATCGTCCAACGAGTGAATAATGAGGGGGAAGGCGACCCCTTCTACGAGGTGCTGGGCATTGTTACCTTGGAGGACGTTATCGAGGAGATCATCAAATCCGAAATCCTGGATGAAACCGACATGTACAGTAAGTCGCAGCACCTGCTGGAATCACCCTGCCTCCCCTCCTGCCTCCCTCCCCTCCTCTCTTCCTCCCTGCCCCTCCCTACTTCTGCTGCCCCCCACAACACTGATCACCATCGCCCTGACCATACAAGTATTGCATTTAACATCCACAAAACATTCTCAAGTAATTAAGATGTGCGCATCCAACATTGTTATCCATTACGTAACCAAAACAATTCACCAAATAAAAATAGACTAGACATGAATGACTTGCTGGTCCAAAAATAGGCGGGTACCAGAAAAAGCATAACACAGAGGCGCTAGGCCACAAGAAACCAGTTTAACTCGAAATAATGTTCACCTCCACCCTGCCGCTCCACCCTTCGCTGTGCCCTGCAGCTGACAACAAGTCCAAGAAGAAGGTTCTGCACAGAGAGCGCAAACAGGACTACTCTGCGTTCAAACCGTCGGAAAGCCAAACGAAGATTAAGATTTCTCCTCAGCTGCTGCTCGCCACTCACCGCTTCCTTGCTGCAGGTGCGCCAGGGCCTGGACGGGGGGGCCCATGAGGCCACTTGGGATCTTCGCTTCTCCGATTAAAGATTTAATCTAATGCGGAGTAGCGCAAATTATCTGTGAACTTGTTTTTTTCTTTCTACTTATGTTGCAGCTACCGCACACCTAGGCTGCGTGTCCTAGGCTGTCCATTGATAGCAGTTCATAGCTTCGTTGGGGAGGAGATTTTTAAGTGACTTTTAGGTGTGGTGCATAGAGACCATTTTGTTGTTGCTGCCACCCTTTTTTGGTACAAATTACTGCAATGACATCGCTAGGGTGGTGTCCCCGAAATTCGCTTTAAATTGGGATTTTTTTCTTTCAAAACTGAAGGTTCAGCCTCGTTGCCAGCTAGGACCCTCAGCCTGGGATCTTGTCTACAAGATAAGAACATTTAGTGGCTAAAAAACAACATTGCAGTTTGTTAACAACAAATGGTATTCTAATTCGAAACTGTTTAGAATGGGTAAATGGCTTCGATAGTGAAGGCCACGAATGCATAGGTCATTTGGTACTGGCCCCGTCGCCGCCACTATCCCAGCCCCCATGTTGACGCCATCCTCTCTGCCGTCCGTCCGTCTGCCCCAGAGCTTGAGCCTTTCAAGCCGGCGCAGGTATCGGAGAAAATCCTCCTGCGGCTTCTCAAGCATCCGAACGTGTTTCAGGAGATCAAGTTTGACGAGAAGAACCGCAAGGCTCCAGAACACTACCTCTATCAGCACAACAAGCCAGTCGACTACTTCATTCTGGTGCTGCAGGTACTGCCCCTCGTCACGTCCTCAAACCTAGGAGCCGGAGACTCCTCCCTGCCACCCCCACCTCGGGTAATGAAACCAGCGGTGTACTGTAGGGTGCTGTGTCTGGTGGAGTGAAAGCTGCTGTTGCCCATTTCCTGACATTAATGGAAAGAATTGCAGCGGTGTCATTGGTAATGATTGAAAAACGTCCGTGTTAAAGGCAGGAATGAGCAGAAGGCTTTGTTATCGGGCGTTAATGTCAGGAGTTTGGCGTGAGGTCATGTTAGTGGAGTGTGGGCTAGGAAGCCTAATCTTTGAGCATTATACTTCGAAAGCCTTTGAAACGCTACTTAAGCCGGCCATACAGAGAGAACGCGCCCACAATGGAGCGTGGCGGGGCCTGACGTTACTGAAAATCGCTTGTCAAATTTGGAATTTTGTGCAATTGAGGGCCCCGTTGCAGTGGCGCCAACCTCCAATGCGGACTTTGACGCGCGCGTGTGTGCCGCTGTCTTGGTGCATCCTGCTGCGCATGTGACTTTCCTGCTCGTTACAGCTGACCTCCGATGGTGATTTCCCACGTTACACATTCTGTCGTGCTGGCTGACATGCGCAGAGCCTCAATGTGCAGCATTGTTTTCTGATAGGCGTTCCATTTTACTTGACACAGACGGATCGACACCATCAGATTAGCACGTCCAGCAGCAGAATTTGTCAACGCAAAAATGAAGATATTTAACCCGAGACATTCGTTAGTGACTTGACAGACGAACTGTAGTGGTTCGTAACTTAACATCTTCTTGGAGTTTAAAGAAGCTCCACTGTTAATAACATTTTTGCTTTTCAAGTTTAAGTTAAGTTTGTCTCACCTGGTGAGAACTCAAGAGACCAGGATGGCCTCATTTGCAGAAATGACAAATGCAACGGCATAAAACAAGTACTAAGATTAAGCAAATAATAATTATAACAAAAACAACTTTCAGAGAAGCAATCGAAAAACGGTGCACACGCATCAATCAATAATAAAATAAATGAATTGCCTGTTTCAAGAAAGTTAGCTTCGACGAATTTCTTTTAAAAAGCATGTAAAGTAAGTTTCAGAAACCATTAGCTTCAATTTCAGGCAATTATTGCACGGGTAGTCGGGTATGTTAGCAAACAGATATATGTGGTGAACTTTTGAGTGTGCGTGTAAGGGCGTGTGTGTCTCTGCACAAGGTAAGCGGTAGGGTAGCGGTTAGCGCGCTGCGCTATCAACTCGGAGATCTGAGTTAGATTCATGTTCAAATGGGTACTTGGTGCCATGTGTAAACATCGCTACTGAGGAGACAAAGGCGACGGGGTGTGGTGCTGGCCACCGACCCCCTCGTGTCCCGTGCCGGCCTTCGTAGGTGCTCGCTTACAGCACTTGCCCCAACAGTCTGTTAAGCCTATATGGGGAATCTTTGTCTTTGTCTCTGAACAAAGGGCAAAGTGGAGGTGGAGGTCGGCAAGGAAGGAATGAAGTTCGAGAGCGGGGCCTTCTCATATTTTGGGATCCCCATCCTCACCTCATCTCCGCCTACAGGTACGTGCCCCCCCCCCCTGGCTGCAGCGCTCGCTCACCATGACGCAGAAGCAGGAGGGGTCTGCAGAGCTTCGCTCATGAGGGCGGTCGCCCACACCCCCGTGACGCAGCAGGGCGTGCACGGCACCTCCATTGGTTACTCACAGATGGAGGTGCCGCTGTGGAGGAAGCGAAATGCTGTGGCCCTTAAGCGTTAAGCTGCCATCATCTTTGATAAGAACAACAAAAAAACGAGTTCTAACAGATTCATTCATCGTCTTCTTCGTGTGTGGCGGGGAAAAAGAATGCATGAAAAAAGGCACATTAGGTAGACTGATGGCAGCTTAATGCTTACAGGCCAGAGCTTCACATGTCTCGCTCTATGGCTCACGAGTTGAGATGCCACTGAACGCATCCATTGATATGTTGGTAATAGTCTTGCTTAGCTATGTTAAACTTGGATATGAACGGTATGATGTGAAAGTAATTTGAGATGGTGTTTAAGTGTCCTCGTCCGTAGAATAGCAGTGCGAGGATGTAGACCAGAACAACGGTCCTTTGGTTTAGCCATCGGCTATTAAAGGTGACAAGCGGTGTTAACTCTCTGTTGGCCCTAGGTTTGGCTTTTTGCCGTTTTGGGCATTCAGCAGACAACACTCACTCGTGTCGGAGACATCAACTGAACACGTGTGTTCAGGCTCCTGTACTAGCAGGCGGCTGGCTGCCTGTGTGGGGCTGTCGCCAACTTGCCTTGCCTTGCTTCGTGCCTCATTAATTCTCCTCCTGCGCCACCTCCTTGTCTGCCTGCACTCTGTAGCGGCGCCCCCGGGGCGGTCACTGCAGTCTGGTGACCCCGACGCCATTTCATTCCCACTGCCACCGTTTGGAAAGTGCCTGCCCGTGCACCGCGCGGCGTACACACGCGCGCGTTGGTGAGGCTGGGCAGCGTGCACGCTGTACTCTGTACGCCTCGCGCCAGCTCTTGGCCGGCGCATACGTACGCGGTGCACGATTTCGCTCCCTCCACACGGCCTTATTCACGGGCCGGTGATTTGTCGCACTTTTGTTTTTGTGTGTTCTTTCCGTTATGATGTTTTTAAAGTATAATGGTCACCATAACCACCGGCTCTCGGAGAAGCTGGGTGGGCTCTGCTGATACCGATGGCCTAAAAACCAAACTTTTACTTGATTCCCTACACTGAGACATGGGCATTGATTGTCCTCTACCGAGCGTGTTATTGTCCGCTTGAGCGATCATATTTTTCGTATGGCGTTTGGTGCAGATCCGTCCATCGTGACTCGTTAGCCGACACGGCAGCCAACGTACCCCGACGACCTGCTGTCGTTCAGCACGGTGCCCTGAGCTAGGAGCCACCGCAAGGCCTCCTCACACAATGCACAATATTTTATTTGCACAAAACTAGATCCAAAACTATGATTACACTGCATTCGGCCCAAATAAAACAATGATTGTCTAAAGAGTTGAACTTCATGAGGATCCAAGGATAGAAATGTCACTAGTTATTTATAGCTGAAAAAAATCTCCGGGAGATTTTACTTTTTAATATCAAACAGCTTTTGGTGGAAACATGTCCAGGTGCGAGGGCCAGCGTCAAGGTCATGGGTGCTTTCTGCCGGGACGGAAGTGCTGAACGGAGCTGTGGCTCTGCTGCCTGTGAACAAGCGCTATCCAGACCACGTTAATCAGAGCCACCCAGTTCTGAGCACCTGTTCCATTGGTCGTGCAGTATTCTCTTTCAGAGCCGTTGTTTTAGTTCAGGAAAGCGCGCATGGTTGAAGTCTCAATGTTTAGCCGTCTGTCCTCTGACCGAAGGGACTTTCCTTGGCACTCGGCACAGGCTTAGGTAGTCTCTCTTGTCCGGTCGTCCCCTGGTATGTGCCTCTATACCATTTAAAGGGGCGGGTCCGTGGCCAGTCGTTTGTCCAGCCGTGCCAGGTGAGGATCCTGAGAAGACGAGTCTGGGCTACTACAAGCTCGCAGTCCTCCTACTACTGAAGGCACTTTCATTTGTGGAGATAACTTTACCTTGTGACACACACAAAACAAGTACTGTGCATAACTTGGTGCTGGTAATTGTTGTGGAAATGTCAATGTATTGACGTTTCCACTGCGATAACGGAGCGCCGCGATGTAGCGTTGTCTTGTACCGGTGTTCTGCCTAGCACTGTCTTGTACGAGTCTTCTGCCCATTGCTGTCCATGCCAAACGCTGTGCTCAAAGTCGTCTTGTACCAGTGTTGTGCCCGACGCATCTCTTGCCACCGCTGTGCTTCGTCCTGTCTCGTGTCAGTGTCGTGTTGTTTCCGGCAGACCGTCTGCGCCCCTGTTGTACCAAAATTGTCGTACGTTGCTCATGCCTTTATCCTGCTTACGGTGAGAGCGCGTCGCCACCCCGATGCGTGTGTCTGGCCGACAGGTTTAGAGATGCTGAGGTTGAGGAAATGGTCATCGGGGACCTTCTGGTGTACGTATGCCACTGATGTTGCATTGCTCACAACTGGTTTCACTAAAAGAAGGAGTTGCCGTTTAAAAAGTTTGTCCCCACCCCCAGAACTGCATTAATACTCACCGTTTGTATAACCTTTGAGAGGCTTGCCTCGCGCGCTGGTGATGCCGACCCTTGTGCCCGGGTGCTGGCGCGGGGCGCCTGTGCCGCGTGAGGCTGCCCGCACGGCGCCTGTGCCGCGTGAGGCTGCCCGCACGGCGCCTGTGCCGCGTGAGGCTGCCCACACATTCTACCGCCGCCCGTTTGTAGAACGAGGATCCCCGTTCATGCCGCTCGAGCTCGCGGCGCTTCCTGCCGAATTGAAACTAGTGGCGGGGGCTGGGCGCTCGCGAGTGCGGCCCCAGGCTGCGGATGCGCTGCCTGGCGTCGCGGCATGAGGAGTCGCCGGCCTACAGCACCGGGCGGCCCCTGAGCTTTGGCCGTGCGTTTCCCTTGGGCTGGCCGGTGTGCAATGCATGACCGGACTGACTCACTCGAGGATTACATAATATTGAGCCCACGCGTTTGCATGCGATCACCGGCGTGCGTTCCTTGTGATTAAACCGTGTGCATTAACTGTGCCGTTGCCGCATTGGGAATTTTACACCACAAAGGGAAGCTGTCTGCTAAGTATGAGCAGCTTTTAAACAGCTGCACGCAGCGTCCAGCGTCCATCGGGGATTGACGCTGCACTGGCAGTCACACCCTCACAGCAAGAGGGCAGCAGCGGTGTCGCGTCTGTTCTTTCGCCCCGCTGGGCGAGGTGCAGCCCGGCCAGCACGGTTTCCCAGTGTGCCCGTGGGCTTCTTGTCGCCCCGGTGATGGTGCAGCCTCGCCCGAGTGCAACCCCTCCAGCGGAGCTGGAGCCGCATCCACCCTAAGGGAGGAAGGGTGTCAGGTGGACGGTTGCGTGGAGCACGCTTTGAGTGTCGCTGGGCCTGGAAGCCGTGCTCTCGGTTAGGTTACAGCACCATCACGGTGGAGCCTATTGGGGGGTGTCCCTAACGTGGCGGTGGCCACAGAGCATCATGGTAAAGGAGGGGAGAGCAGGGTGCCGACGGATAACGCGTGGCTTGTGGTCGAGATGGGTTTTTGCAGAGCGGCCTTCGGGTCTGACAGACCCAGTCAAGTCCGTTGGTGTGCCTTGTTTAACCGAGAGGTGAAACTCTTCGAAACTTGTGAAACATCTTGGCCTCTTTTGCAAGGGTGACCTGGATTACATCAAGACATAATATAAAATGTATTTAAATTTAACAAATCTAGACTTCATTTCGAATAATATAATAAAATGTAAATAAGGCCGAATAAACAACGTGCATTGCAATACAAAAAATCCAATATATAACAATATTTATAATATGTACACGTGGGTATTTCTTTTAGTACAAATCGTAGTAGGAGAACGAGTGTGGCGGGGTTTGACGTGAGGGCCACTGCAGCACCAAGGTGGTGGTGGTGGTGACGGGGACCGGTTCTTCTGCCGTTGTGCAGCTTGGATAAGGAATGAAAAGCCCCAAAGCCACATTACAGGTCCGCATGCGGTAAGAGTCTATTAAACCCAGAAGTGAACTTTTAACACAATAAGACGATCGCCGTTCATTGAGACGCACGTTCCCCCACGCTTCCACTTCACCAAGGCTGTGCGCTGGGTTCCCGAGTCCTACGCCTGCTCCTGCCGTCCACCGCTGATGCGTCGCCGCATTGTGAGAGCCTTCAGTGCGATCACTGTGCCCTCTTTCTGCTGGGCGCTCACGGACACCATTAATGCGAGCAGCTAACACTGGTCCCATGGTGCCGGTCCGTCAGAGCCAAAGCTGGCGCTGAAAACACCTCGTGCCAACAATGGTGTCGTGATGGAGATCTCTGGTGTCCGGTAATGGAGCCGTTTGTCCTTGGCTCTCACGGCTGCTTGTGCTGGGACTGGCGCTGCGGTTGAGTCTGTGCCTATGCGATGCGGAAGGTGTGGCTGTAATGATTCTGTGTCCCCTGCATCTTTTCCCCCTCTTCCCCGGATTCCCGGAACTCCCTTCACCCCCCCCCCCCCCCCCCGCTCCTCCAATCCTGGTCAACGTCACGGCCGCCCTCATAGTGCCCTACTCGCTCTCCCGAACCCTGGTCCTCAGCCGGGCCGAGTCGCTTGCCGGCTCCCCAGGTAATGCGACGCGCACCTCGTGTACCCCACACACCCCCCTCTACCCACGTGCCCCCCTGTGCCCCCTCCACACCCAGCGCCGCTTGCAGCTGCATGTCCCCGTCCATTGGGTTCCCATTCGTACCTGAGGTCCACACGCCTGCATTGTTCCATGAGCTCCGTGCTGTTATTAACCAGTCTCTCTCGACGACGCGACCTTCTCTGCTGCTTTTCTACCCCCCCCCTCCCAAAACCTCCCGAGCACATAGCTCACCGTGCGCCGAGTTTGTCACAACGCAGGCGAGGGGCACGCGGGCCGCGGTACGCAGGCCGCGTCTCGATTAGGGCGCCCGTGGCGGCGCGTCACGTCGAGAGGGTCGCGTTGTGGCGCGTTTCCGTTGCGCTTGCATGCGTGTTCATCCCACCCACGGTGTGTCGGCGCATCCTACTAGCGTTGCGCAAATTAAAGTGGGTGTGTTTTTAATACATTTCTTTTGCTGGCTGTTTGTGCTTTGCATTTTGTGTTTTGTGTCTCTCTGGCTGCGAAGTAGTGGAACAATGTGGAGGTCAGTACCCGGAAATTTAACGTCCCTTTCCCCCACCCCGCTGACCGGTTATGCAGTCACCAACGCCTGCATGGCTGCCAGTGCCCCCCACACCCCCCCCTCCCCTCCACAAGCGTCTCCTCTGTCCATGCCACCCTGTCCGCTGTACAAACCCGCACGCTGTCGATCCGTCCAATTTTTTTTTCGTCCAAGGGTCCCCAGGCTGAGCCGTCGGGGCCACTGGTCTGAGCAGTTGCTCACAGCGCATATTGGATGGGTGCACTGCTGGATGATTGAAGTCTAAGGCGGTCGGGGGTTGTGCACTGCTAGCCAGGAGTCGTGCCTTCTTGACTTCTGCACATGTGAATTGCCTTCCTCTAATGGCGCCAATTACCCCTGTAAAAATACTTTCATGATTGACGGCTTCCTCTCAGTTCTCAGTAGTAGAACTGGCGATCCCGACCCGTACGCCGGGAACACAGCTCATTGTGCCAGTGCCCGCCCCACAGTTAACCCCCTTCACTCGGCCACGCGCCGGCAGAAAACTCCATTATTATCGTTTTTGTCGCAATGCGTTTTCTCGGCAGTGAATCCATCGCCATCGCACAGCTTGGCCCTGAACCGCTCGGACTCCCTGAACCGCACGGAGCCGACGGGCGGCAGCAACAACCAGCTCAACATCCCGCTGCTGCAGCCCTACGTGCCCGACTATTGTGTGCACGCCGTCACCGACCTGCAGTACGTGAAGGTGAGGCCACTGCGACGCTCGTGCATACGACGGCGATGCTGTTGTTGCCCCGCGGTTGCCGTCCCCCCACCTCATTCCCTTGTGTTCCGGGAGGTGACCCGAGCGTGCGTGCGCACGTCACCCGCAGATCACGCGGCAGCAGTACTGGAACGCGATGGCGGCCTCCAAGCTGGACAGCTCTCCCCACTCCCCGGACACGGGGGACGGCAGCCCGCCAACGTCCGCGCGCGAGCTGTCCAACTCTGTGCACAACGAGACGGCCCACCTGCTCAACGAGCACAACTGTGTGGCGCGTAAGTCAGCGCAGGGCTCCTACACCGAGAGCTCAATATAGGAGAGCTGCGCTGCAGAGACTTTCCCTAACGTGGAGAGAGGGGAGAGAGGAGGGGGAGAATGTAACCTTAACGAATCGCAGCGGTAATGATAATTTAAAAAACAAAAACGACACATATTTAAGAGACTTTCCCCCCCCCCACGCCTGCCACCCACCGACCCAGCACGTGCATGCAGCACTGAGCTAATCGGGAAGTTTTAACGAGCGAAGAACAGCAGGACTGACGATTTCAGCGCCGCTGAGCGGCACGCCGCGGCCCGCTTGCTTTGTCTTTGACTGCTGCCCCGTGTGGTCGTCGTTCCCCTTCTCCGCCTGCTCACCGCCGCCGCCGCCTGGTGATTCGGAAAGGCAGCCGTCGCACACGCGCTCTCTCGTGCCACCGCCGCCGCCAACATCGAAACCATGCATCGCTGCTGATTGTACCGGCTTGTGAGTCTCCTTGCCTGAGCCAAAAAACGTGTTTATACCAAAGATACGCTATTACGGTGACAGAATTTAAATGGGACGTCTATGCAGTAAGTTATATTGGTAAAACATAACACCTGACCGACCTCACGGTTCAAAATTACGTTTCAACCCACGGACGGCACGTGTGTCTGTCCGTACGGGTGCATTTTACGTACCGTAACGTGTAACTCGTACGTGTACACGCACGACTGTAAAACGTGTGCGGCGTCGAGCTGCCGTGTGACTGGCTGCAGGCAACAGAGAGTGTGAAGGGCTGCTTGTTTGTTTGTTTGGAGCAGTAACGAACACAGGCGGTCGGGGCGTGCTCGCCCGAGTGCTCTTTACGGCTTGTCCTCGTTTTTAATTGACTAACATTTTAAGCTGTCGTGTTGGACACCGAGTTGGCATGCCGGAATTGTGAATGTACCCTAACGAGCTTAAGAGAAAAATGAATGTAAGTTGACCTGGGGTGAGCTCGCCGTGTGTGGTTCGGCCCTCCAGATAAGGCATTGTGCAATTTCATTTTTTTCCGCCAAGTTTGTGAACGTGCTCCGCAAACCGGCTACGTAAGTGAGCAATTGGCGTGGACGTGTCGGGGCGCCAGCCGCTAGTTGCTGCGCGCTGGGAAGAGTAACGGGGGGGGGGGGGGGAAGGGGGGTGGGTGGTGGTGGCTGTGCGCTCCGCAGGCCGCTCAGGAGCTGTGCTCCGGCCTGCGTCAGCCAGGTTGCCAGGCCGCGTGCCGTACAGCACTGCGTGCCAGCCCTGCTAGGGGTTGTGACGATGGGAGGGGGGGCGGGGAGCGGGGGGGGCAGTGTGGCGACTCCGTCCCGGTGACTCGTTTCGCCCAGTAGTTGGAAGTTGCTGATGAGTGCTTAAATCTCAAACGCACGGCGATGAGAATCAAAGTGTCAGGCGTCGTGGTATTGGACAAAGGCTTCCGAGATGTTTCACATTCACGAGCGTTGTAGTGGAAGGCAGCGTAATACTAGCTGCTCGCGTAGGAATGCAAATTGTCTTAGACGTTCTCCCGAGAAGGACTTTAGCTGAAATTGGCTGCGTAGAAGTAGAGTTTTTGTTTTTCCATGTTCATTTATTTATTGTTTGTTTGGGGGGAGGGGCAGGGCAGAGTTTAATATAAGCAGTGATTTTTAATGAAGCAATGGTGGGGTGGGTGTGTAAGGCCAGGGGGCGAGGTTTTTCTGTCTGCTAACGTGGGAGGCTTCGCCCCCTTGCTGTGTATTTACCCGACCTACAGTGTGGTAGTTATAAATATTTTTGCGCAAAATCTTGTACCTAATTGTACCTAAGCATAATAACGTTTTATCAGATTACCTGATGTCTGTAAATAGTTAATTCTCGTCAGAAATAGCCACAGAATGGAGCATATGTTCATTTAATGTTATGTATTTAAAGTTTAAACTATTGGGTTGTTTTTCCACGTCTGATGTGAATGCATAAGGGTGACTAGCAGGTTAATGGCACCGCGCGTAGAGTAACGTGTACTAAATCCATTGCTTTGTATATGCTGTAATAAACACGTACCATTTTGGTTAACTGGTGCACCGTGTGTCCCTGTCGCGCGGCCATGCTCGCTCGGGGTGATGGCGCCGCAATGCACCCCGTCCGCTCCATCCTCCTCATCGCTGTCGCCATCGTCGTCACTGTCGCTGTCCGCGTGGCGTAGAGAGGCGCCGCTCGGTGCGGTGTCGCACCGGCTGCAGTTTTTGTCAGTTTGGCAGTGCCTTTAAATTCGAGGTGTTTATTGGACAGTCACTTTTTTAAAAAAACGAGTGAAATAATCCCCAGAAGAAAGTTCAACTCCGAAATTCCTATAAAATGAATGTAATATTTGCTCAACGTAATTTCTAACTTTAACGTCGGGCATGGGGTTTGCGTGCGCGCCGGCCCGCCCTAAATCAGGTCAGGGTGCAGGTTGGGTAACGCTTGCCCTGACGGCTAAATGTCTAACTCAAACGTGATTTATTGATGAACCTGCACACATGTTGACTACTAACCCCCCCGCATCTTCCCTGCAGTGACGCTTGGCGGCGTCGCTGCACTCGGCACGTGAGTGTCCGGTGCACGGCAGCGTTGTTGAGAGGCATGGGTGTGCAACTCCCATCTCCACTCCACTTCTTACCTTCCCCGATTTGAGATGCAATCGCTGACAGCGTCTAAAGTAGATGTCCCATACTCCCGGTTCTCCTCTCTCCTCACCTCCCCCTTTCATCACCGACCCCTGTCTTCTCGTCTTTCTCCCTTTCCTCACAACGCAACTGCTCACCTGACCCTCACTGCTCACTCACTGCTCGATCCCTTATCCCCTCACTCTCCTTGTTTGCGTCTGTCTCCCTCTCCTCACCTGTCCTCGCGTGTGTGTGGCCACCGCCTTGTGAGGATGTGTGTGCGCGCGCGCGTGTGTGTGTGCGCGCGTGTGTGTGTATGTACATTTCCTGTCTTGCAGAAGGTAAACAGGCCAGCCCCGACGGCCACACTGATGTGTTGATCGCCATTCCTGAAGAGTTCAACAGAAAGGGTACCCATGATGCAGCACTGAACGTGTGCGTGCGTGTGTAATGTGTGTGCATGATTGTGTTTTTAAGTGGGGTTCAGTAGTGCAGTAGTTCGTGCACTGTGCATAGACCTTGCGATTTGTGTTCATTTTCTGCTCGCGGCCAACATCAGTAATGAATCGGCCATGGGTCTTCTGCGGCGTGTCTAAACATCAGCACTGGAGAGACAGACGGCCGGGCGTGGTTCTGGCCGCTCCACCCCCTGAGTGTGCCGTGCCGGCCTTCATCGGTGCTCATTAACAGCACTTGCCCCAAAAGCCTGAAAAGGCTATATGGGGCATCTGTTTTTGTTTCGAAATGTGTGTGTGTGAGAGAATTACAGCATATATGTAAACTGTAATTACCCTGCTGAAGAAAATTATTAAACGAGTAGCATTGTGTTTCACAGGCGGTTGCGTAAATAGGTGTGCCGTTAATGTCCATTAGGGTTCTGTGCAAATTGCATATACTGGAGCTAAAGCTGCTCGAAGATAATTCATTGAAAGGCAATGGTTTTCACCAAATAAAAAATAAATAGCATTTAGCCCCATAAGCCCATAGGCCTTTTGGGCCAGTGTTTTCCAGCAGAATATTTTTTATTCGGGTGCTCTGGCCAAGTTTTTGCTCGCTGAGTCTCATCGACAGATCATGACTCATTATAATGAGATTTAGAGTTGATGAGACTCATAAGTTGAAACCAGGATAAGTTTACTATTTTAGCAACTGCTGCTGAAAAACGTGGGTTGAAAAGGCCTGTAGGCTGATGCAGAAAGTGTAATTTGGATTTTACTGTGGTGAAGCTGACCACAGTCGATGATTGCATTGCCCCACACACAATCCACCGTGACGGTGCGTAGCAAACTCTGTGCAATGCTGATAGCAATGTCCCAGGCTTCAGGATGAAGCCTGAAGCCTGGGGATGGGTCCACTGCTTCAATTAAAATAAATTGCTTGGACCTAATTGGAGCCTTGGGCGTCCCACTGGTCCGAGCTGCACGTGTGATCACAAAAGGGTCACGGTGGTGGGATTTTAACTCCCTCGCCTAGTATACAGGAGTGTGTGGGTTCCATCCTGACCCTGACGCCTGCATATTTGGAGTTTGCATGTTCTCCCCGTGCATGTGGATTTTTCTCCCGGTTCTACAGTTTTTCCCTCTACATTTAGTTTCAACATGGTTTTAGAGTATTTGGCTGCTATAAATTTCCACACGATAAGCCACTTGAGCTCTTCTGAAAAAATAGCTATATAGCTCAGTGGGCCTTACCTGGTAAAACATTTTTTTTTTATTAGTTAGTTGTTTTAGAGACGCAATGAGTCACAAAAGCTCCACGTCGGTTCTAGGCCAAGTAGGCACCGTGACGGGACCCCTCTTCACAGTGACCGTTTAAATATAGTTTAAGATTTAAATGGTAAAGTAAAAATCATGAGGAATTCCTCTACCCTCAATCCATTGAAGCCAAGCAGAGGATGAGGGTTCAAGCCAAAGCGCCGTGGGTCAAGGCTCGGTGCTTTAAACCTGTGGTGACGTAAGAATCTAAATGAGAAGTGCCGCGCTTAACGGTGCTGACGGCGCAGAGGCACGGGGAAGCACCGAGGCGGAGACGCCAAACTTGTCACCTACGCAGTTGTGTGGACAACAAGATCTCGGCTGTGCGAGGACCACCATGACCTTGCTCAAGCATTTGTGCCACATCGCATCCCTCTGGCAGTGAAGTAGCCATAGCCACAATAGAATACATTTTACTGTGAAGGTGTGGCAGTGGACGCCACGCGCGGCTTGGCGCAACGCAGAGCGGTGCTGTATGGTCCACAGACGGCGTCGGCAGAGGGGCCGCTGAGAGTGGCGGCGGCGGTGACGGCGGCAGTGGTCGGGCTGGTAGTGTGGTGCGGAGTGGAGGCCGGGCCGGGGCAGTGGCGGACACAGAAAAGTCTCCCTTGGACGAGGAAGGCCACGAGTCGATGGGGAAGAAGCTGATGCGCCATCTGAGTGAGTCGCCTACGCCCCGGTCTTATTTTCTCCCCTCCCCCCCCCTCCCGTTTGGCTAAGAGCACGCAAGGAGTTTGCTTCAAATTCTTCGAGGTGTAAAATAGCTCGTGTACAAGACCATCATTTAACGAATTCTATTTTTTTCCTGGTTACCTCCACAATGTGCCAGAGACGTTGAAAAGCGAAATTTCCATTCAGACCTTGAAGAACCTGGAGTGCAGGGTCACATTATGTTCAACAACGACCCCAGAAAAAAACGGCGCAGAACCGCTTCTGCAATCTCTCCAATGGGCTTATTTACCACCAGCTAGGGGGGCACACTTCTTACCTGCAAAAAGAGGCTTTGATGCAAGGGGATTTTTTTTTATTATTCGTCCTGAGATCAGCGGTTCCCAATCTGTGCGGTGCTCTGCAAGGCCCTGGCAAGTGTCCATGGAACCGTGAAGGTGCAGTTTTTGTTCACAAGACACCGTATTCTGCATATTGCACGGCTATTTAGAGTTTATTCCCAACTTGTCAAGTGACTGCTGATTGCTGCCATTGTTGAGTGACATCATTCAGTATGCAATTTCTGCGTGGTGATCTGTGGGTCCAGAAATAGAGAACCGCTGCCTTAAAGCATAAATATACAAAAATGTGTCAATCAACTTTGACAGCTTACCAAGTCATTTGGTAAACGGGTTGATAAAAGGACCTTGTCACGTTGCAGAGCCCGCATGGTTAACAGGTGTTTTGATTTAAATTTACCATCTCGGCAGTGCCAACTCAGGTCCGGATATGGTTATATAGCCCCGACAGAAATAATTGCTTGATATCAGCTGCTGGGCATTTCTTGTGGCAGGGCTATATCGTGGCTTTTTAGGTGAGTTGCTCTGAAGGATGTCGCGGTGGCTGTTTCTACGGTGTGTGCAGGTGGCAGGAGGAGTAAGAAGAGCCGCGAGCGGGAGGAGTGGCTCCAATCCGAGGCATTTTAGGCTGCCGCCCGTCACCACTCGCCGCTCCCAGAGCGGTCCCGAGTGTGGCGCGTCGCTCGGCTTGGTCACTTCTACAGAGGCCGCTCCGCTGCATGGGAGTCATCACAGCAGAGGGAGAGAATCTGTATGCAGCGGGAAACTCAGTGGTGCCACCCTCTGATTAAGGGACATTGCGAACAATCACTCGCTTATTGTTAATTGCGGATAATTCTCATTCTGATTGGAAATGGAAAGAACCGACGAGTGCACACGTACAGACGCACACTCTTACACAGTTGCACATTACCACGCACGCATTCAACCACGTCTAAACTGGTGCCAGTGCAGCTTAAGTGGGTGATGGTGTAGCTCAGTGATTCCCGTATGGTTGCTGTAGCTGGCTCTTGGTAGCTATAATTGTTGGTTGCTATGTGTATCCTGCATTACTGCACAAGATTGACATAACAAGGCTGGCCTACATAATTGTATATGCTTCAGCTCTTGGGGTCAAATTAAAATAAATGAATGTAAAATCATTGGCAGAGTGCATGTGTACAAAACAGAATTCCCTTTAATGCAAGCAGCCACCCGCACGCTCCTAGAGTTGGGAAAACTTGAGGACAGAAGAGATAGTGAGGCTTTATCGGCTTTGGTGAACTTGTTGTGTGTGTGTGTAGCTATACACGCGTACACACAGTAGCACACGCAGTGCATTTACTGCTGGTGTACATATAGGATATATTCTTTACCTTAACGTAGTACGTTTGTGTATATAATGCATGTGTGCACATATACACTTAGCGCGTGTATGTGTGGGGAGGTCAAATGACACACACAGCGGCAATATTGTGGACGTTCGCCATTTGAAGAATATTTGGTTTTTATCACCGGTGGCCGCAAGGGCTGAGGTGTGGGGGGGCTGTGGCGGGGGGGAAGGACGGACGCGTCGGTGCCGCCGCCGCCCTCGGCTTGCCAGATGTTTTGCCTTTTTTTAAAAATTATCGCTCCACGCTGTAGAAATCTTCAACCAAAATGATTACATTTGTCACCCGTGTTTTTAAAACGTTTAAGCGGATGCTGTGAGTGAGTTTGTCAGGTTCCCGTTGAACACGCTTGCCTGCGCCGGAGCCGCCACAGCCCGGGCGGCCGTTCGGGAGCGCAGCAGTTTGTGTGCGGCGTGGAGCTCTGCGCGTCTTGAGGATGGTGAACCCTGAAACCCGGTGCCTTGCCTGGACCGGTCTCCACGTTGTTTCCAAGTGGAGCCCAGCGGGCATGCCGGATCACGGCCACGCCTGCCGAGTGTCGCTGGGAGCGTTCGCTCGTCGTCACCGAGACGGTTAACGGGGATTTGCCACCCCCTGCGAGATCCCTGGGAGTCGGCTGGGGTTGGGGGGGGGCTCTAGGCACGTGCAGGGCTCCACTTTCTGTGCGTGTTTGTTTTGGGGCTTGGCATTGCCAGCCTCAGGTTTTTGTGCCACGGCAAAGGCAGCTGCTGTGTGATGTTAAACCGCAGAAAACGCGACCCGGCAGCCTGGGCCGGGCGGTCGAGAGTTGCTACCATGTGCAGCTAAGCACACAAGGCCGGACCGTCATGGTACTAGACTTTGACATGTCCTTATATCCAGTCCAAACGCCTTTATTGTGTTGACTTTGCAAATCGCAATACACGTGTGTATATATGTGCACTGTATGTGTACTTATGCATGTGCATGTGTTTTGCATGTACATGTTGCACATGGAATCATTCTCTTGATGGTACATTTCCATTGATCATACGGGCCCTGTGCAGGAGACAGTGCCGCAGATTTATATTCGTAACCCTTATTTAAGGATCAATATTTTAAAACGTTGCGGTCTTATGCAATCTTGTACTTCAGTCTATTTGGGAAATGTGCGCAGTCTTCGGATGTCCGGCTGGTCCGACTGAACGCCGTGTGGGCCGATGCCAGGGACCTGTCTGTGTGATAATCCACCAAGGCCGACCGCAGTCGACTCAGGAACCCCCCTCTCCATCCTCACATCCCTGCTCGCGGACTCGGCCCCACGCCCCATACCAGAGGGCTCCTATGGGAACAGATTGGCGAGTGCAGGTCCGCTCCAGCAATATGATTGTGTGACGCTGCTTCACGGGAGCCCTAAATAGTGTTCTGTGGTGTATAGGAGGCCCTTAAAACGTAACGTGGCATTGTCACAGTTGGGCTGCTGTCTACACACAAGTGTTGTTATGTTGTGGGGTGTCTCAGCGCAGCAAGACTGTACAGTGTTATCTTGTGTCTGGAGTGCCATGAAGTATTATGTCATGTGTCCGGGTTCCTAAACACAACACGGTGATGGCAAATACACCACCACCGAGTGATGTGATGACGATTTATTTACACATCTCGTTGTCAAACCACCTGCCGCGTCAACTTTCCATGGTGATCGTGGGGGGGGTTGTTTCATTAGACTTCACCATGATGGCCATTGCGAGTTGAAGTGATGGGGCGCCCAAGACCAGTTCAGATATCACTCGTCACCTGATGTTAGCCATGGCTGGCAATTCAACTCGGGTCACTAGATTCAGTGCAGTGGTGTGAACCAGTGCTGCATTGTACCACGTGTGGTGTATGGGTCAAAGGACGTGATGCCATGCTGTTTTTGTGTCACGCTCATCTCAACGGAATAAAGAGTAACATCTGAAGCACTTGTTCGTTGCTTTGGGGAGAAGTTTTTTGCCGAGCGTGGGCGAGACGGGGAGATGCTGAGTGTTTAAACTTGCACGTTCACAGCCAGTGGCGTCACACGTGAAGCGGTCTTTGCATACACGAATTAAGTTTTTTGTCTGTCCCTTGTTCAAATAACTCACGGCTGATGTGGCGCCTGTAAACCTGAGGCACAGCTGCAGGTAAAGATACGGGATTTGAAGCGGTAAAAAAGGTACTACAGTACAAATCATGTTTCTCAAACCAAAATCGTACAGCAGATGTAAAATTCCCACGTCTCGAGTAAAAACGTGGGTGGCTTTTTTCCAACTGAGCCGGAAATATATTTGGCCCTTTTCCATCGCCCTCGTGTAGCCTCTGCAACAAAATCCTCGAAACGGTTTCAGCAGGACGCCGTGCGCGTTGTAAAGCTGAAACCCCTGGCCCAGAGGTCGGGTGGCTTCCCATGCTCGATATGATGAAGCCGCGTGGCGTCTGAGTGAACTTCCTCACTGCACTGGTCACTGCTTCTCATTGGTTTGATTGAACCTGACTGTTGATGGGACACTGAATGTCAAAATCTGCCCAGAGTTTGCTCGTGTTCAAACAATGCTGGCGAAATTATTTCCCCGCAGAAGACCGTGTGACTGATGGGATGTAAACAAAACACGTATTTTTTATGTGGGTGGACAGATATGGGAAGGGGACGTACGTATTATCTACTTCTATCTATGCGACATTTTTGGCAGTATCAAAATTATGAAAAAATAAGAATAGGCTTTATCCTTTCTGGCAATAAAACAGGTGTTACACCACAGATACCTTTTGCAAAGCATCAATGCTGCATTAACCACGCGTACTTGTGGCAAAACATGCCCTGATAATATACGCAGTCTTAATCGCCTTGTCTCACCAGTGTTAGACCAGAGAACGCCCAAAGGCAAACGGTGCAAAGACAAAGCAAGTCTCGGTGCATGTATCTCTCGGGTAGAGCAGTGTGTTATCTGCTTATGTCATGTTTCTTTCCACAACGACGCGGATGATTATTTCGTGTCGCACTTTCCCGATGGTTCGCGCCGTCACCAAACGGCGCGGTTCGACTCGAGGGTGATGGCATTGATGAGTGCCTTCCAGAGCCGTCGTGACTTTCTCCCTGATATGGCCAGGAAATGTCGTTTTTGTGTTCCTATGATTTCTCGAGGCGCTTGTCTCTCCGTCTCAGCCGTTTTGATCACGACTCAGCTGCTGCTTCTATTGCGCCATCAAACATGTTAAACAAACCCACGCGACCTCCACAACCTCCACACAGTACCGTCCATTGTCGCGGTAGTCACACGGATCGAGTGTTCGTTTGGCCACGCCTCGGCGTCCTTGGCATCTTAATAAACACAGCCTCCATTAATACACAATAGTTTCTCTTCAATACGACCTCGATTTGTCATTAAATAGGCAGAACATTCTTCCCATATATGTCCCTCCCAAATAAAAAATGATTTATTTTACACATCCCATCGGCCACGTCTTGGGTTTTGCTAATGGCAAAATGCATTGGAGCAGTTTCGACAGCCCTCGTCTCATCAGCAGTCAGGCTTGCTTGAACCAATGCTGGTAACCTGCTAGATGTTTATTGGCAAGGAGCAAGTTATTTATTGCGCTTGTTTACCCTGGACAGCCTCCCTGACAAGTGAATCTCAATGCTTTTTCTGGGTTTTTTCCACTCGGTGGGCAATGATGCTCCGATATGAAATCCCAGCAATGGGGTGTTATTATTGGCCAATTTCACAGTTTTACATGGGGGACCTCCTGATTCGCGACGCAAGAACATAAAATACAAAACACAAAATGAGAAATGGCGTTCCTCAAAGGCCCCATTCGGTAGCGTGGCTATTGAGTTACAACCGCACCGGGGAGCCAATTCGCACAGAGAGCCCCCATCTAATTCCTGGCCACCAGGACCCTTCTGCTCTACGAAGCGCCGGTCCACGTGGCTGCGCTCAGAGGCAGCAACGACAGCGGGGAGGAATGAGAGACCCCAGGTCCCCCTCGGCCCCACGTCGTGGCCCGGGCTAACTCCGCGACTCCGACCGTCGGGGCCATTGGGCTGCCGGCCGGCCGGGCCCCGCGGGAGCGGGACCGGTCGAGGGTGCTCCGGCGTCCCGACGCCCGGGGGCGCACGGGGCCCCGTGGGGGCGGGCGCTGCTGGGTGTGCCGCCTCCCGGAGCCGCCTCACCGCTTCGGCCGACCTCGTCGATTCGAAACCTCCACCCCACCACCCTCTTCGCTCCGCCCAGGGGCCGCCACGTACGAAGGGGGAGTGGCGCGGGAACGCGGGGACCCCCGCCCGCCCGCCCGCCCGCGACGCCGCGGGTCGCACGGGGCCCACGCCGAGCGGCGAGGCGATGGCGCGGAAGGCGGAGCGCGGGACCCTGGAGCTGAGCGCCGAGGTGGCCGTGCGAGTTCTGCTGTTTGGCGTCTTCTGGTGAGGACTCGATGAGGTGGTGCTGGATGATGATGATGATGAGGTGGTTGGTGGTGGTGGCGGAGAGGGTTGCCACGTGTCGTCCGGAGTTTGCTATCTGTGTACCGAGACGTGCTGGTTTGGTGCCGAGCTGTCGGTTCACTCCACGCTGTCGATAGACTTCGCCCAGGGGTCGGGAAAACCTGCGGCTCTTTCAGGACTGCAGTGCGGCGCTTGAAATGAAAAGCATCTTGTTTTGTTTGCCGGCCCCTCACCATAGACGTCCAGTACACCGTGGTAGTCCAGTTCACCATGTGAGTCCAGTTCACCATGTGAGTCCAGTTTACCATGGGAGTCCAGTTTACCATGGGAGTACAGTTTACCATGGGAGTACAGTTTACCATGGGAGTACAGTTTACCATGGGAGTCCAGTTTACCATGGGAGTACAGTTTACCATGGGAGTCCAGTTTACCATGGGAGTACAGTTTACCATGGTATTACAGTTTACCATGGGAGTACAGTTTACCATGGGAGTCCAGTTTACCATGGGAGTACAGTTTACCATGGGAGTCCAGTTTACCATGGGAGTACAGTTTACCATGGGAGTACAGTTTACCATGGGAGTACAGTTTACCATGGGAGTACAGTTTACCATGGGAGTACAGTTTACCATGGGAGTACAGTTTACCATGATAGTCCGGTTTACCATGGGAGTACAGTTCACCATGGGAGTCCAGTTTACCATGTGAGTTCAGTTCACCATGGGAGTTCAGTACACCATGTGAGTCCAGTTCACCATGATAGTCCAGTTCACCATGGTAGTCCAGTTTACCATGGACAGGTGTCGGCAACCTTTGGCTCTGGAGCCGCATGCGTCACATGAATGACTGTTCGGGACGTTTTTTATTGTAATGAGTGACTTCCGCGACACGTCGTGTAGAGTGCACTCTTCTTTATTCCACGCACGGGCACAGCACAGGCCAACGTTATCGGCTTCCTCTCCAAGCACACACTGAGATATTAACGTTCTACAGACTACACACACAGTTGATCACACGGTCGATCACACTGCGGGTTCCGCCCGTCCGCTCCCAGTCTCGCCGCTGGCTGACGGCGTGCTGGGGAGGGCGATGGAATTCCACAGCAGATCCGCCACGTGGCCGAACGACGGAGAGAGATGACGGCGAGCAGCGACGCAGTCCGGACCCAAGACTCCACACACCGAGTCCGCCTCCGCGTGTATTGCCGTAGGCACGGCTAGGCTCCGCCCCCGGCCACGTCCTCTCGTGGAACTTTCTCGCCGGTTCTCACAGTTTCTCGGCCGGCCCCGCCCTTCACCTTCTCCCTTTGGGGATTGGATAATGTTTATAATGGTGCCTGTACCCGTGCTTCCCTGTTCCAACCAGTAGATGTCACTATCTCATTACATTAAGGATCACCGTCTCGTATTCACCACACGCATTGCGGTTCGTGGTTTTTTTTGTTGAATACTGAATTCGAAAAACATTTTGGTTGTCGACCCCTGACTTAAACTACTAGAAACGTGTCCCGGGTTTTGGTCTGCAGTGGAAAGCCCCAAAGGTGTGGCGCTGCCCCCTATGGTAGTGGCGGCGGCAGAGGAATGAGGCAACTTGAAACGACCAAACCTGTGGTTTTAAAAGCCAACAGCGTCTGCTGCTGTTCGTGTCAGGAAGGCACTGAATTCTTAACGGGACCCGGAGATCACGCTGGGGATTTGCATCCAGTTGCACAATATACCGTAGCCCCCCCCCCCCCCCGCCCCACATTGCAATTTAATCTGATGCTGGAAAATGGCGAAAGTTGAGGGAAATTGTCACCTTAGGAGTTGGGTGAATTCGGCAATGTGATCTCTTCCACGCCATGCCACGCTGTCACCAGAGCCAGGTCCAGAAACACGCCACTCTGCTGCTGCTGCTGCCAACTGCGTGTGTTCGCTGTCCCATATGCGTGGCGTCAAAGTGTACCTAGCCTGGCGTAAAGCACAGTGGGGACGTCGCCATCTCTTAATGACGAATGTTGTTGTCGTCGTTGCGTGCTTGGGGGCAGGTGGAGCGAGAGCCTGCAGCCCTTTGAGAGGAAGATCCAGCCCGAGGAGATGTGGCTGTACCGCAACCCTCGCGTGGAGAAGGACGTATTCCCCACGTCCATCATGTTTGTATGGAGAGCAGCAGCATTACTTAGTTGTGTTATTATTGTTATTGTTGCGCTTGTTTACCCGAGAAAGCCTCGCCGAGTCTCAAAGTCTCTTTTTCAGGAGAGTTCTGCCAAGTTTTCGCAGGAGGGAGCGATGTTGCTTTTGTCTAATTCCAGTAGAGTAATTTTCATGTACTTTTTTAGCATTGGGATATTTGGGCAATATCAGTTAGTGTGCATGAGTGTGTTTTATTAAACTATGGGAGGAAACCCAAAACCCCACAGGAAACCTGTGCAGAAATGGGGAGAACAGATAAACCTCACAAAAAAAGTAATCCGAGATGGGCATTGACCCCAGGCCCTTGTTGCTGTGAGGCAAGAGCGTTACCAATGAGCACCCTTGTAGCATTAACAGACAACCAGTGATGCTAGTTAATGTTCTTCCTTGTTTCAAACTCTATTTCCCGTGCCCAAATGTACCCAAAAGTAGTTCAATATACATACAAAAAAGGTATTGCATGTCAGCTAAAGCACCATGCTCATGAAAACCTGAACCCATAACCGTTGCTGTTCTGCTGTCATTACCACTGCCCTCAGGCCATCTCATTTTCTGCTCCACTGGTGGCAATCTTCATATGCTGGTTTCTGCAGTGTCACAACCGGGCCGACACCACGCATGCGCTTCTCGGTAGGAATCACACCGGCGGCGAAAGACTTCTTCACTGTGCAACCCCCCCCCCCATTCATGGTGACGTGAAGTCACTCTTGAAGGGTTGGGGTGCGGTTTTGTTTCTAATGTCGGTGAAAGAGCCGGAGCGTAATTCTTAAAGAGGAAGTGCGAGCGGCACAGGTAATCTGCACTGACGAGGGGTTGTGGCTTCTGTTCCCCCAGCCTCCTCGCTGGCACTGGCCCTGAACGGTGTTCTAACCAACACTGTGAAGCTGATCGTGGGGAGGTGAGTCGGGCAAGGAAACCTGCGATTATAGCACAACAGCTGTGCTCGGCTTACCCAACAGATCTGATCCTAACTGTAAAAGCACGAGAACGATGATGCATCATTTGGAAATAATTACGACCGCTGTGCGTGTTGACAGGCCGAGGCCAGACTTTTTCTTCCGGTGTTTTCCGGATGGCAAGCAGACCAGTGACCTACAGTGCTCTGGTGCTCCTGACGACGTCATCGAGGGTCGCAAGAGCTTCCCAAGTGGCCACTCCTCATGTACGAAACTTGCTTCTGTGATGGAAGTTGTGTCCCTGTCTTGGGAGGTTGCAAAAGAGCGAGAACAGATCCTGGCAACTGGCTGTAGGGCCGGCTGGTTCAGAAGACATCAATGTGCCAGGGAGGGCTTCACACCAGAAATGACCAATCAAGATCCCACTTGACTTTGTGTCGAGGTGTGGACATTCACGACTGTCGACCACAAGCTGCACATCTCCACAACACTGCATCGCACAGGAGACATTTGGGAATAACGGCGCACAGTGGGAGTTTGTGTTTGCGCGAGTGTGTGTATATTTCCGGGAGTTTGCATACGTGTCTGTAAATGTGGCCAATAGTAACTGCCCCAACAGTCCGTCACAGGCCACTATACAGGGGATGTTTTTCTTTGCGTAGTTGCGTTTGCAGGGCTGGGCTTCACAGCGCTCTACATGGCGGGAAAGCTGCACTGCTTCTCGGAGGGCGGACGGGGCAGGGCGTGGCGCCTCTGCCTGGCGCTGCTGCCCCTCCACAGCGCAGCCGTGATCGCCCTGTCCCGCACATGTGACTACAAGCACCACTGGCAGGGTGAGACTGCACTCGTGCTGACACCAACAAAAACGGTGGAAAATATGGGAGAGAGATTTTACAGGATGGCTTTGAGGATATAAATTTATATTTTTTTAAAGTAATAATGATTTAAATGTGTTTAAGTATATATGTGTCATTTGTCAAAATTAAGTTTTTTTAGTTTACCATCTGATTTCAACTGCAGGTTGAATTAAGCAGAATAATTCAGTCGGGGCCATTGCAGATCACGAGAAAAGTATTTTTTATCTATTCATTGTAAATTATTACGGCTTGTAAATGCTACCACATCTCCCAATGCTGTACAGTAACGGTGGGCATACAGTGTTGATCTTGGTAGTCAGTCATTGGCACTCTATTTCTGTTGGGGATGCGTTCCTGAAAAACACGATGTTAGGTAAAACAATGTAAAATCAAAACCTATTTTACTATTGACTAAATATATAAATTTAGGATACGTTCCTGGGGTGAATTTTTTAAATCATTTTTTTAGAAATAATCACTATAATAAGCCCAGAATGTATGTGTCCCCGCGCGTGACGTCACTCCACATGAGGCCCACTCCCCCGCGTGAAGTCACTCCACATGAGGCCCACCCCCCCGCGTGACGTCACACCACAGGCCCACACCCCCTCATTAATATTCATGAGTGGATGCATTCTTACACAAACGCAGAGGAAGGTCCAGTTGAATTTAATAATTTTTACCCAAAGTCGCTTCAAATATGACATTTCTTTACAATAAATATCTGCAGCACAGTGCTACATCCGAACGTGACGTTACTGCAAAAGAGCCCACCCCCGTCATTAATAATCATGAGCGGGTGGATTTTTACACCCCCGCAGAAGAAGGTCGAGCGGAAAGAAATATTTTTACGCAAATTCGCTTGAAATTTGACGTTTCTTTATTGAAAAAGTTAATCAAATTACTAATATAATGAGCCAAGAATGTGTGACCCGTGTGTGATGTCACTCCACATGAGGCCCACCCCTCCACGTGACGTCACTCCATATGAGGCACACTCCCCTCCCTCATGAATATTCATGAGTCGGATTTTTACACTAATGCAGAAGAAGGTCGCGCTAAATTACATAATTTATTACGCAAAATCGCTTCAAATATGACGTTTTTTTACAGAAAGTGACGGTAAAAACAAATCTATGCAGCACACGTACATGACGTCACTGCAAAAGAGGCCTCCCTCCATTAATATTCATGCCCGCGTGGAAATTTACACTAATGCACAAGAAGGTCGCGCACTCCACATACCGCACCCCTCCCTCATTAATAATCATGAGCTGAACAATTTTTCTATTGAATATTTCAGATTTGCTGCAAATATGCATCCGTCCTTGGACGGGCAAAAAAGCTAGTATTAAATATGTACCAAAGAAATTACAAAATTTCTCCAAAAAGATATACAGGCAGTCCCCGACTTACGAGCGCTCAATTTACGAACATCTGCACTTATGAACGAGTTTCCATAAGGCTTGACTTAAAGCTTTCGTGACTGCAGGAATTCATATTCTTTAGGTCTTTCGGTAAAGTCATGTTTCATGTTACTTTAGTTAACGTTTTATTTACTATACATTCATTATCACAGTATTACATGCACATGTTCAATATTTCGTATTTATGAGTTTAACAATTCTTCCCTTTTTTGTAGACCCATAATACATAACATTGATCGTATGTCCATTTAAATACAGTACACTATTGGGTTCTGACTTACGAACTGTTCTGACTTACAAACAGGTCTTGGGAACGGAATCCGTTCATAAGTCAAGGATTGCCTGTGTACTGTAACTAGTTTCAATATATGAGTTAACACAGAGTACTCACCACAGATGGCAGCGGAGATTGCATTTCGAGAGGGTATTCCAGTATCCAGCATTACGTACGGTGCGAAAGTAGTTCAACATACATACATGGCGATGTTGTCAACACTGACGCTTGAGTGCCCTTTTGGGGGCGCTGTGGCATTGTGTGTCATCAGGTACGCTGCCCAAACTACTGCATTCTTATTTTTACATTTTTCAAAACGACGTTATAGTGAAACAACATAAATATGAGCAGTGCAAATATAAGACTTCCTGTACTTGCTTGTGTTTACTTGGTTTGATTTTATTGGAATGCCTATCTGATATCTGTGCATGATGTATCTCGGAACTCTTCTGAAAATGATGGTCTTTACTTAGGACCTGGTGAAGTAATACAATTCAACTCTGGACACATGAGGGAAGAGATCGGCGTAACCTCTGTGTGTTCGTCGTGTGTTGAATGGCGTATAGATGTGCTGGTGGGCTCGCTGCTTGGGCTGGCGTGTGCTGTGCTCGCCTATCGCCAGCACTACCCGGCGCTGGGCCACGCCAAGTCACACCACCCGATTGTCTCTATCAGGACCCGGCGCACCAGTGAGCGGGAACCCCCGGCCTCGTACGACCTCGATGTGTGATGGAGCAGGAGCAGCAGGAGTCACTTGGGCTGCACATGATATAGAGGGTTCCATGTTCTTGACCATTTGACAAAGATCAAGAATAAATACACAACTGGAGAGATGGCGTGGAGCATGTGCACCTTCTGGTGGTAGGACATTGCTCCGATGAACCTGAAAACTAGAGGATCTGAAACATTCCAGCACATCTATCACCATTCCTTGATGAGACTCAACTGCAGTTGTAGTCCACATTCCACTGTCTGACTCGTGATCGGCAGTGTCAAAGGCAGCGGTCGGATCGCTGGTGCGTGTCCACGGGGCAAATTGTTGCCACCTGTTCAAGTTTGTGTCCGTTCCTTCAGTTTCACAAACACACAATGCACATTCCCTTGCCTTGGGAGCGAGCGAGGCGTTGTCGGTGACCTCGTGACCATGTCCAATAAAAATGTCGGGCAAAGCCTGGTGTCCAGATAACCCAGTGTGGTTGTGTGAATTTTCTTTGGTACGGGAAAGGCCACCCAGAGCTTCTGGGAGGCCCAGGGTAGAATCCACAGGTCCGTATTGGGCAGGGTTCCCAGGGAATTGGCACCTCTATTCAGATGGCAACAGTTGACTTGTACTGACATCTGGTGTTGTGTTGAACTATTCCAGTTAACTGCACAGTTTTGATAGACCTAGGCTGAGAGATATATCTGGGTTTGGTCTACGGTTTGGTTTACAGTGGAAAGGTGTCAATCCTAGTTATGTACGTCTATTATTATGCGAGGCTTGGGGCAATTTACCCCTTTTGCTGCCACCGCTGCTCTGGATGCCACCAAGCTACAAGCACGGTGCCCAAACCAAAGATGATAACATGATGCGTGTCAAAATAGTGTGACCTCTTGCGACAGCATTCGTATGAACTGCTCTTACTGCCATACCAGTGTCTCGAATGATTTGTTTGATCCACGTATCACGGGGGCGACCATGGGGGTTGAGTGCAGTTTTCATATCTACGCATATCCTGACAAAGGACTTGTCGACTTCAATAAGCCATGTCACGTATATTGTCGAACATCAAATGATTTTTGTTCCTCCAAACAGGAGTCATTGGTGACATTGGTGATTGGCAGCTCATTTTGCTTGGTCTAAAATAAAACAAAGGTATGCTTTGTAGTCCATTTATTTGAGATAAAAAATGGTTTTGCACCTATCACAAAAATTGCTCTGGTTTTATTATCTCTGGAAGCCTACATTTTCCAGATGTCTCACTGCAGCCATTTAAACATGAAAGCCAAATAGTTAATTGTTGCTCACATAATGTACTACTGCCAATGGAAATGCTGGCTTTGCCTGAATGTTACCTGGATGCTGCTGTAAAACCCTTAATAGTTATTTGAGGTACTCATGAGAATCTGTTGCGATGATCATGGCTTGTTCAGTCATGGTCTGTGCAGATAACGCAAAGTTGCAATGAGGCTCGCTCTATGCGTTTTTTTATACACGAGGACGGTGTCGGCTAGGACTATTTTCGGCCACCTTTTTGTCTACCCATTGCTGATGTTTCGACACTGCACCAGATGCTCATTTAAGACATACAAACAAAAGAGACAGAGCCAGACATATAAAGACACAGAGAAATAGACAAGTAATACATTTAGAGGTAGCGTGTCCCTTAAACTACAAAGGGTACGTTTAAAATGTATTCCAGATTTGAAGCTTTCATTACTGCAAGGATTGATATTATTTGTTTTTTATGGTAAAGTCACGTAGGTAAAAAAAATTACATTGAAATTAATAAAAAATAAAATAAAAATCACGACGTTTCAGAGGCAACACAAGCTTCCGTCTTCAGGTGGAACTGGCATAGCACGATTGCTGTATCAAGTAAGAGAAATTCCAAGAAAACCGTCCTTGTATATGTACTGGTTGAGGGTGGGAGGAGCCAAGGTAGGCCCCTGGATATTATTATTGTGAGGTTCGGTGCGGCTGAAGCACGCTGTTAGGAATGAGCCTTTGTTGTGTAGACTGGTTGAACTGGGAGGTTCCAAAAGTTGTTAAGGTGCGGCTGCTGTAAAGGTGCGGCTGCTGTAAATGGGACTGAGCCTTTGTTATGTAGATGCTACGTTGCTGGGATTAATTCTATATTTGCCAAATATAGGCCGTAAGGTTAAGACGTTTTATGTTTAATCCCGTTCCCATATATGGGGCACTAAATTCTTTTCATTCGAATAAAAAGATCTATTGTTTTTGGGCGTGAAAATAAAAGTTCTCCATGTCTAATCCTGCAGTTTATTTTTTATTACTGTTTAAAGTCGGCAATATTTCCTTCCTCGCGTAATCATATTTTGATCATCAGTGATGAGGTTTCGCGGAACAATCGTCACGTGCTTCCCGCTAGACCAATAAGGTGGCCGCTTTTTTGGGACGAGAGGTAAACATTAGTCCAAGATGTCTGCGCCCTTGTTGTCAATATCGAGTAGTGAAGAGGAGGAAATTACGGCCAGACCTCCTTCAAAAGTCCGTAAAAAGTATTTTAAACAATGATACATGCATCTCACGTCCATAAAGAAAGAAGAAACAAAGGATTTTACACGCACACGGTGGGATACATTCAGAAACTGCGTCAAACGGTGGCTTTTTTTGCAAGGTGAGAATCGGAGAATAGCAGAAACATACAAACATTGTCGTGTCATTGACAAAAAGCGCTTGGATGCAGCCGAGAAACGGGCCACACAGCGTCCTGAAGCTCAAGATCAAGGCCAGTCTGTGCCATTGGGTAGTAACGTTAGTATCGCTGCAGTTGATTGTCCCGCGAAAAAATTTAGGTCCAGGACTGGCCTGCCAGTAGCTTGTGCTGGTCTTGTGCTTTCTGCCTTGTGCATAATTTGTAAGAAAACGGACAAGTACATTACTGTGGGAGGCAAACGCCAGAAGGACCTGTTGGGACCGCTGGTCCCTGAGGTCCCTCCCTGCTGCGTGCCGATAGCTGGGGCTCCGCCGTTTACCGACCCCTCGCTACTCTGCGACCAGCTGCTGCCGTCGCTGGGCTCATCGCCCGATGGCTCCCCTCCCTGGTCCGCCCCTCCGCGAGCTCGTGTGAGAGGCATAGCTCGCCGCCCACTCTCGTTCACCTGTAAACGCTGCGTTGTCTCTCCACCAATCACATGCTCTGAATGGGGGTCAGGGGTCGGAGGGCGAATGACGCTGCCCTCACACCGCGCGAGTCCCTGCGGCGATAGACGGAGCAGGTATCTGTGGACGCACCAACCCCCCCCCCACGCTACGAGCGCACACACCTGCACACAGCACCACGCGCTCCACTCACTCGTAAGACCACTCGAGGCTGCGCTGGGTTATTAATGGTTTATTTTCGGCTACCTGGGAATTGATGTTAAATCAGTATGAATCGACGAAGCTGGCCTATTCTACTACCCCTGGACCTATTCCCTATTTATCGGCTTATGATACTAATTCACCTTCTTACTCACGGTTAGGTGCCCACGTCGGTCCGTTGATCCCGTCCTCGCTGCGTACCTCGATGCGTCGCACGGACGTCTGGGTCGCTGGGCTGGAGAGCGTCTCGTGGCCTGATGCTGGAGCAAGAGAGCGATCTACCTGTTTTCGCCCCCCTTTTATCGTCCCTACATCAAAGAGATGCTGCTCCGCCTGTTGTGGTGCCCTCCCAGTTTTTCTTTAACAGTCAGGGCACGTGCGGCGGTTCCGGGGTGCCTTTGCTATGCTAATAAGATGTGCTGCGTGTTGCGGCGCTTATTCTAATTAATCCCTTTCTCATGCATGGTGCCTTGGTTATGCAAATTATGCGGCGGCGTCCATCATGAAGGCTTGCCGTGGGAATGTATGCACGGGCCTCCGCATACCTCTGATTATTAGTAATTTCAGCCTTTACTCCCCAACTTTCCTAATTTCCCTAATAATGGTGCCTACGCGCTCAAGCGTAATTATCCTATCAGCGACTATGCGCTCGAGCCCCTTTTGGCATGTTAAATTATGCCGTGCCGTCCCCCCTCTGCCTGTCTCGTCGATACGTGCGTGGGTGTGGGGGGTGCGTTTCAACCGCAGTGGCCGAGTGGCCCCTCGCCGCGACCTTGCAATCTTAATGCCGGTCGCAGCGCCGCGAAGTAGCATCGGGGGAGGTCGTCCAATTCTCTGGTCACCGGAAACCGTGAAAGTTATCCCGATAAGGGCTTCTCAGATTAAAACCGGTCGGCCAGGTGACTTCCCCTCGGAGCTCTATGGGGGGTGGAAATGCGTGCGGGTGTGTTCATGTGAGGTGAGGTGAGGGGGAAGCGGGGCTGGCTCCGTCGCTTGGTGGTGGCGAGGTCGTAGATGGGGCGCCCGCCGAGCGGCTTCGTGGCGGCGGTATCACAGACCATCTTTCACAGGCAGAAACGTTGTCAGCAGGTAGGTAAGAACAAAACACACACACAAACACACGTTTGAACTTTTATTCCCTTATGCTGGGTACCATGGCTAACTTTCAATTACAATTACATAATTTATGTAATGTTTACTTTACAGTCAGAGACAGATTTGCATTGTTTTGCATACTGCTACAGCCAGAACACTCATTATTGTTTAACTCTTAACACAGTTTTTTATTAGTTTAATTAGTTTTATTTATTTATTTACAGGCAATTTGCTGAAAGCTGCTGAGATGAAGGAAGACACTAGCATTCTTGTGCATATTCGAGACAAAGACTGTGTGTCTGGAGGTGCGATACCACAAGTCCTGTTATAGACAGTATACCAGGTTCTTGACAAAGTCTAGTGCATCAGTTACTGTGACCTCAGAAGAACAGTGAGTTAGCAATATTTTATATTAATAAATATTAATTAATAATTCCCTCACATTTTCACATTTTCACATTTCAAAAGTAGGAGGTTGGCCCGTGATTTCCCCCAGCTGGTGTTTCACTCCCTCAAGAAGCACAACATAAGTGAGATGGTTTTCGTTGAGACATTGTCTGCAGATAAGCTGATAGACAGGCTACCTGATCTATCAGGTACAGAAACAACAGAGTCAACTGAGGTAACTAGCGAAAGTGACTGTGAAAACAGGGTTAGTGCAAAAGCTGGTCCACAAAGACCAAGTTCAATGGCCTCCATCAATACTGCAGAGGACACGAGGACACTTTACAGTGCGGCATTAATATTAAAGCGTCTTCGGGAACATTGTCAAACTCGATTTCTAGACAATGTTTGTATGTTTTTGCTATTCTCCGATTCTCACCTTGCAAAAAAAGCCACCGTTTGACGCAGTTTCTGAATGTATCCCACCGTGTGCTTGTAAAATCCTTTGTTTCTTCTTTCTTTTTGGACGTGAGATGCATGTAGCATTGTTTAAAATACTTTTTACAGACTTTTGAAGGAGGTCTGGCCGTAATTTCCTCCTCTTCACTACTCGATATTGACAACAAGGGCGCAGACATCTTGGACTGTTTACCTCTCGTCTCAAAAAAGCGGCCACCTTATTGGTCTAGCGGGAAG